GGAAACTTCTCCTCATTGCTAACTGCAAACAAGTGTATCAGAAGCCTCTGGAGTCTAGGTTCCAGGTATTTGTGAAGAGCCTGCAAGGAAACATGGGGTGCAGAGAACCCCTTGACTCTAGGGAATCTGCTCTCCATCTCTACTGACTGCGAGCACCCACCTAACCACCTTTTCACTGATACACGTTGGCTGAGTACCCGAGTGGCTGAGGGAGGCCCCAGAGGACTACAGGGAGCCTGTGATCTAACCTGGTAAGATCTGCACACGGGGCTAAGAGGATGCCACGCTACGGACAAGAGAGGCCACATCGATGGACCAACCCCAGCTCTTGCGGTGCAGAGTTCTACCCTCACGTGTTTCCCAGCTGCAACCAGATTTTCTTGAAGAATTCCAGTGCTCGCTGTGGAGGACGCATTTTTCCCCCAGACTGATGGTTTTCTGTCTCGTCTGTAAAGATCTCTTAAGAAGATCTTCAACAAACCATTTCAGCTTCTCATAACTCAAGTCAAGCCAACATATACTGAAGGCCTACAAAGTCGGGAAAGAATGTTGTCTCTGACCTCATGTCCCCTGTCTTCACTCTCCTGGGGTTGGCTGTGAACCCCCAATCATTGCTTGGCAGGCAACACAAAATCCCCAGCCCCCGCTGAGCCATTTAATAGGTGCTTAAATTGAATGTTTGGAAATTTTCTGAAGAAAAGAAGCAATTTCCCTAAGTATCCAGGGATATTTCATGCAGCTATATTTCAACCCTTTACACTTCCTCCTGCTGCAAAGGATGACCCATTCCTGCCTCAGCCCAGGGCAAGCTGCCACCTATACGCAGGGTCTTGTCCCTCTTTCCTGCTGAAGGACTTGACAGCTTTCCATGCAGCATGGGTTTTTCCGTTTCCAGTAGCTCACCCCATTGGCATCCCAACATGTGGTAACATCCCTTATTATATTAAAAGATAAGAATTAAATAAACCTCTCCTACCCTCTCACTTCCTTCCCCATCTATTTATTTTGCTCTTTATAGCAAAAACCCTCAAAACAACTATAGTATTATTTTTACTTCCCCCTTGTCTATCCTTTCTCAAACCCATGTCAATTAGGCTTTGATCTCTACAATAAAACTACAACTACCATCCTCAGAGACACCAACAACTCTCATCTTACGGTCCACTGCTTAGTTGTTACCTGTATCTCCTAGGCTATCCTTTCCATGACTCCTCAAGAGATACTTTTAAAGTGCAAATCAGGGGCTGGGGATTTAGCTCAGCGGCACAGCGCCTGCCTGGCAAGTGCAAAGTCGTGAGTTCGATTCCCGGTACGGGGAAAAAAAAAAAAAACGAAAAAAAAATTAAAAAATAAAAAGTGCAAATCAGATGATGTCAGCCTTGTTCAAAACTTAAAATGCAACCCAACTGGCCGAGGTGGCCCCACTTCATCTGAAGGAGAAGGTGACCTTCTCTCCTTACCCTCACGACCCTGGCCTTCTTACTGTTTTTCAGGTCACTGATTTTATTCTTATACTACTCATGGCTTGCCTGGTTCCTGTACCTGCTATGGAGATTGCTGACCCCTGGATATTTACATCTTTACTCCTCTGAGTTATATAATCCTCTTCTTATGCACTTTTTGCTACCCAAAAGTATAACGGTTATTAGTTTATGTAGTTGTTTATCGTCTGTCTCTAAGACCATAGAATCTAAATTTCATGTCAAGAATTCAGTCTAGTTCACAAATGCATCACTGGTTCCTGAAATAGAGCCTGGCATGTGAAAGACATTTCATAAATATCTGCCCAATGAGTGGGAAATAAGGACAGCTGGAATTTATTGAGCATGTGCTATGTGACCAGACACAGTGACCAGAGCATTGTCTCACTGAATCCTCACAGCATTCCTATGAGAAGTTTGGTACTATTTTACCTGCTTTTATGGAGGAGAAACTTGTCTTAGGCAACATTGCTACTAAGGGATAGAACTGGATCTTGGACTCCCTCCAAAGCTCCTGCTCCTGGCCTCTGGATTATGCTGCCCCCAGTGACAGCGCTTCTCAGTTGGAGTCCCAGGGACATTGTTTTCAGATTCCCTGTTTAAAAATTCCACACGTGGCTGCCACAAATGCTCCTTCCATTGTGTAGCAGTACTGGGAAAAGCCATCATTGCTTAGAAGGAGCTGCGAGCTCTCTCAGCTTGCAGGGTCGAGCATAGTTGGGTATGGAGCATAGGCTGCTGCCTGTGAGGGAGCCAGAGATGACAGGAGTGAACTGGGAGCCAGGGGTAGCATTGGAACATGTGCGGCACTCTACCCCTGTGGGCCCATGGTTCTAATTCCCCTGTCTGGGCTCTGAGGTGGGGCAAACTCCACACATGTTTTCCTGCTGCCTTCACTTTTCTCTTACTGCCTTCTTTCTCTCTCCTTTGCCAGAGGGCAGGGCTCTCTTTGGGACATACTCTGCCCTTCCAGTCGCAATCCCCCCCACAGAGGTTGCCTAGCAACAGTTCTCTGGCCAGGCTGCTATAAATTAACACTGTAGGAGGGGCAGAGTTGGTGGATTGAGACCTCTCCTGCACCCTGTTCAGTGGGTAAGGCTGAGGCATGTTCTGGTCTCCTAGAGTGTACCCACCTGCCCACAGTGGTATGGTAACCCACTTCCTAACCTCTGGACTACCAGCATGAGTGGACTCACAGACTTCTGGAGGGTGATTAGACTGTGTGGGCACTAACCTCGTGAGTGCATTAACCTCTCAGTACTTTCATAAGTGAATAAATAAGAAGGGGGCCTCCTTGGAGGATGTGAGTCATGGGGGTGTGAACCCCGGGGACTCTCTGGTCCCTGGCCCCTTCCTGCCACCGGCTCTTTCCAATTGCCACAAGGTTAACAGCTTTCTTTCACCATCCTCTCCCAGCACTATACTTCTGCTTGGGAAACAACTGGTGATGGACTGTATCCTCTGAAACCGTGAGCCAAGATCAACCTCTCCTCCCTTAAAGTGTGGGTGTCCGGTGTCTTGTCCCAGCAGTAGAAAGCTGAGTGCCACACCCCCTTTATTGTCCATCCTCTTCCCTGTCTCCCACACCCTCCCCTCTTGCTGCCTGAGATCATCTCCCACATTAAGTGGTATCTAGTGGATTTCTCTATCTCCATCTTGCTGTGTAGGCCAGGCTGGCCTTGAACTCTCCACAACCTTCTTGCCTCAGCCTCCCTAGTGCTGGGATTACAGGTGTGTAATACCTAGGGGCATCCTGGGAAGAACAGCCATCTCCTCCCAAGCATAGGTCATGCCCTGTATGATGGAGGCCACTATGAAGCAGCTCTCAGCAGGATTTAATATTAACCAGTCAGCTTCTCATGTTTATGTGTGAGTTTGCTCAAAGCCTAGGCCCTTGTCCAGAGATGGGCAGCGGACTCATGGTAAGTGAACCTCTATGGTCCCCACTGAGGCTTGTATTGGCCTGTGAAGTTGGGATGCCTCAAAGGACAAGAGAAGGCCACAGCTGAGAACTTTTGGCTCCAACCCCAATTAACTAAAAGGAGGCTATTGCTGCAGGCATCTCACTCTTGCGGTGAAGGCCTTCCTGGAGTTAACACAGTCCTCCTAAATTTTTTAATTAATATATTACCTGGAGAAATTCTTAGAGGGATTCCCAAGTCCTGCCCAGATTCCTGCATTTTCTTTAGTATTCCCCTCCTTTGTCTGAAAACCTAATAAACACAGGCTGCCTAGAGAAGTCTTTGTCTGAAACCTCAGAATCTCCATTTCTGTAATAGGGTTGGATCCTCCTGGAGCCCTGAAATCATTTCAATTGTCTCATTTATTTAAGCCTTCTCAGTCCACTCATTTGGGAGACTGTGGGCCTCATCAGCCGGCAGGGGTATTATTAACCCGATACCTGTAGCAGTGAGCTTGCAGGTACCATCTCTCTTAGCTGTGCTGCAGTGGACCCTGGTCAGCAGGACCAGCCCATATCACAGGCATGAAAACTGAGGCTCCAACAGGAGAGTGAGTGTCTGACACAAGACAGCAGGTGGGTCTCTGCTCCCCCTGGGTGTGAGAATGAAGCAACTCTTGTCTATAATGTGGGAGGGAGTAGAGAGAGCCCTCCCACAGGGGTGGGAGGGGGTGCTCCACTCACACGACTTCATTTTCCCTTTAGACTTTTTGTTTGGGTTTTGAGACAGGGTCTTGGTATGTAGCCTCGGCTCACCTTGAACTCACTAGGCTGGCCTTGAATTTGGCTAATCCTGCCTCAGCATTCTGAGTGCTGGGATTACCGTGTGTGCCATCACTCCTAGCTTCTCTTTTGACATTTGTTATTCCGATAAATGACCTCACGATCATTTCGTCCCTGCAGTCGGGCTCATATTTCCTAATCAGAAAGATAGATGCAGCAGGGGGCAGGGGCGGGGGAGTCCTTCTCCCAGGGGAGCTCATACACGGGGTGCAGAATCTCCCATGGGACTGCATCCCTCTTCTCGCAGGTGAAGTTTATGAATCAGCCTGAGTTCCGTCTCTGGATGAGCTGTCCGTGTTTAGGGCCTGGTGTGTCCGCCTGGATGACCTATCACCTTTAAACCCCGGATGCTGAAATCCCCAGATAGCTGTACTGCTCAGGCTCCCAAAGAATCTACAAGGCAAGGGCTGAGGTTGGACCAAAGCAGCCTCTAGCAGGAGTTCCAGAGTCCAGCAGACATATGATTTGCTCCATGATCCCAGGACAGAGCTTTTCTTCTCTGCCAGCCCAGCTGGCTGCCGCTCTGCAGCCAGACAGTTGGTCTTTTCAACGCCACACTCTGGAAATGTGTCAGTCGCCTGACGATGGCTTTCCCGGGAGAGCTGTGCAGTATGCATTCTGCCCGTTCATGTTGTGTTTCCCATGACTCCTTCCTTTGCTATTCACTAACACGGCCCATCTGCCATGGCAACGCCCACAGCCAATGGCACCACGCGCAGTGTGTTCTACTCAGCTGCACAATGTTTTCTTAAAGAAACACACACCTGGAAATGGTTCCTGGATCCTTTCCACAGGAACCCTGGCAATCTGCGTGAATTTCCTTTATTTTGCAACACAGGGTAACTATTCACTGTCTTTCCCTAGTGTCAGGAATGGGTTCCATAAATCTCAGGTAACCTTGTCTGGGTGCGAGACTGGATGATGTAAATGGTCATGCATCATTTCCATGGGCTCCGTACTTAGAAGATCATTGTCTTAATGTCCAGGTGGACTCAGAAAAAGGAGATGAAATTCTGAAGGCATCTTCACAGAGAAGTGTTATTAAGCTATGGGGATAAGTAAGATTTCTGTGGAAAAGGAGAGAAACAGAGGAAGAAGCCAGGGCCTTAAGTGGGTTCATTGCCAAATTAGAACTGGAGAACATTAGGGAAGGGAACCATTTTGACACTGGGACATCAGCTCTAGACCACAACTGTCTTGCACACAGGGGTACAACACAGAGGGACATACGTGGTCACTCTAACGCGAGGATCAATGTACTGAGGGGGCTGGTGATGATGCCTGACCTTCACCACAGCCCTGACACTTGCTCCATGGTGGCGGGAAATGAGGAAGAGGCTGTGGCTAGACACGGCCTGGAGCATGAAGTATTTTGCTATCCTCCTCACTGGGGTCATCGTGAGGTTCTGAACCTTGTCTGCCCTTGGCTGGCCAGAGCTTCCCTCCCAGCTCCATCCTTCCAGAAAGACAAGGGAGATGTGAAAGGGACAGGAACAGGTGCGCTCTGCTCTCCAAGAGTCTTGGGGAGGAGGACCAACTCTTGGAAATTTGATAGAATTGTCCAAAGAATGTAATCAGCTGCATAAATTGTTTAAAGTTCCATTTCTATGGTAAACATATTTTGTTCATTTGATATTTAATCTAACCATGAGCACATCCATATAATCTCTCAATGTAATCACAATATACCTTTGTTTCCAGCGCAGCCCGTCTAATGCTATGCTCTCCTATCTCATCAGGGTTCTTCATCCATATTTAAAAGTGGACAAACAAAAAGTCATCTCTTGGCCCTGAGTTACTGCTTCAATCCGGATTTTGACAAGTACAGATGCAACACCTTCCATTTTCTCTCTCACTCCTTCTACTCTCTAACAAAGTGTTACCAGGCTCCTACCACCCCTCTGGTTTGTTTCAGACCAGACCAAAGAGTTCTAACTGAACTAATCTGAGTTAGGGGTCCACAGCTGGCTCAGTGGAGCATGGAGGTCACATTTGAACGGAGAGCAACAGATGCTCTGTAGAAGCAACTGATTCCAAGTTGATTAAAACGAGTTTGACTGGGTTCTAATCAGGTCAAATCCAATCTTCCTAGGTTGAATGGAGAAATCCAGCTCAAACAGGATGGAACAGTTCCAAATGGAAACAAATCAAATTCAGAGAAGAACATACTGATGGGGACCAGATAGACATGCATCCAACTTGTTCTTACTGGATTAGAGCAAGTGGGCAGAATCACGGCAGTTCAGGAGAAAGAAACCAAATGAAGCCAGGTAAGACTGTTTTTATTACAGGAAAATGGTGTAGAATGATTCTTACCAAAGCAAACAAATTCTAACCAAACCAGTTTAAGTCACAGTTGTCAACATAGGCTAGTTTAAGCAAGATCAAATCAGCTCTAATTTCATTAGCTTTACCAGCCTTGTTCATTAAAACCAGTTGACCAGTTTAAACCAAATGGATCTGACAGCCTTGCCAGATGGATACATAAATATGTTATTAACTATTTATTTAGCGAAAAAAGATGGATACATCATAGATGTGTTATACCTTCCGCTAGCATTTATATTTGGGATTTGAACTCAGGACTATATGCATGGTAGGCATATACTCTATACCCTGGCTTTGCTCTATATCTTATAATTCACATTTTACTTTCATAGATCATTAAAAGATACTACTGCTCCTCTGTATTTGTGGGGACTAGTTCCAGAACCCTCTAAAAAGAACAAACTCCTTGATGTTCAAGTCTCTTGTGTAATATTGTGCCATATTTACATATAACCTATGACTGTGCTCCCACACACATTTTTTGGCAGTACTGGGGATCGAACCTAGGTCTTTTGCCCTGAGCTACATCCTCAGACCACTTTTTATTTTTTTATTTTGAGACAGGGTCTCACTAAGTCACAAGGTTTCCCAAGCTGGGCTCAAACTTGTGATCCTCTTGCCTCAGCCTCCCAGAGCACTGGTATTATGGGTGTGTATCCTCAACCCTGGTTTTTGCATATACTTTAAATCATATATGTCTTATAGCTACTAATACCATGTAAATAGTTACTACAGTGCGCTGTTTAGGAAATAATGATGAAAATGTTGAGTACAGTTGCAATTTTTTTCCAGAATATTTTCAATCTCCAGTTGACCAAATCTGCAAGCGCAGAAGCTATGCATTTGAAGGGGCTGACTGTGTATATTTTTTTGAAAATCAAAAAATAAGCTATTTTTTTGATCGCTTCTTGGCCTTTTGGCTAAGACCAAGTGCAAAAATAAGCTATTTTTTATTTTAAAGAGAGTAGAAAAAAAGAAACAATAGCACCATACCAACATCACAGACATAAACCAAACAAAGCAAGAACATTAAAAGTGATACAGGATTTCAAAACAACATGATAGGAATTAGCAGTGGTTGTTATACTACACATAGTTATCTTCAACTACATTGCTCAGATTACCAGATGTAAGAATGCAAGACTGATCAAACCATTAAGGAGAATAAAAAAAAATTATTAAATAAAACGTTACAGATAATACAGAGTTTCACTAGGCAAGATGGTAGGAATTCACCAACGGTTCTTCCATTGCATATTGTTGTCTTCAAATCAGTTGCTCAGATTACCAGATATAAGCATGCAAAATTGGTCACAATATAAAAACTTTTAAGCATTAACTGTTCCTTTCAATATACCATCAGCAGTACAGTTATCCCAGCTATTCTTCTATATACCTATATCTATCTTTATATATAGATATGTATATATATTTTCCTACACCACACAGGTTCCTACACCAAGGAGACAATATGATGTTTACACATGTTGGTCCTATTTATTTCACTTATGATTATGGTATCTAGTTACAAAAATAAGCTATTTACTGATTCTGCACACAATTTGTAATATTCATTGATTTATAGGTCACTTGACACTGAAATTATTCCTTACACTGTTTACTCTCAGGTCATAATCAATTTGGTGAAAGATGCTAAAAAAATTTTTCCACCAGCTATTAGAGATGAGCTTCCCTGGTGGAAGTGAAGTTGATGTCCATGCCCTAACCTGCTCACAAAGATATTTTTGGAGACATGTTTTTTTAAATGGAGATAAGACACTTGAATTATTTCATCAAAAGTAAATCCTAAGGAGCCAGATCCACAATAGGACACATTTCCAAAGAGAAATGATTCCTCCAAATCTATGGCACTGGCTCACCAGGCAGTGTTACTTTCATGGTAAATATTTTTACTACATGAATTGCTGAACAGTCCTTCTATAAATCAGAATATTACTTTCCAATAAAAATCCTTTCCATTTTTTATTCAAAGACTTTCTGAACGAAATCATCATTTGATATAGGGACATTCATCACTTTTTTTTTTTTTTTTTTTTTTTTTTTGTCTTTTTGAGACAGGGTCTCGCTATATAGTTCAGGCTGGCCTTAAGCTCACTTTGTAGCCCAGGCTGGCCTCAAACCTGCAAAGATCCTCCTGCCTCAGCCTCCCGAGTGCTCGGATTACAGTCATGCTCCACCACGCCTGGCTCATTACTTTTACATAGTTGCAGGTTTCCTGGCAAGTGAAGGGTGTAAAAGTGAATTCACAATTGTGTTGATTTCCCAGGAGTCCCCTAAACTGATATATAATCATTGCTTTATTTATTCAAATGCCAAACCAGTACAGAAGTAGCCAGGAAAGATGTGGAGACTGAGAAGTCAAGTTCAATTATAACGCAATTCATGGTAAAAACTGAAGTAGAAAGGTAATTCATATGAACCACATTTTTAAGGAAAAATATTTTCCAGACGGAAAGAAAACATTGGACTTTTGTGTTTCAAAACCATACACCTATAAGCCTATAATCCCTGTCTAATCAGATCAAACTTTCTCAAACCTTTCTCTGCCAATAAAATTTGTTCCCAGTGGTTTAAATTTGTTGCAATTAAGTTAAAATGAGAACTGCCTTTTCATGGTCTGACAGGCACCTTAGAGCTGCTCTGCCCCAAGACTTGCCTCGTAGCTGGCTGGGGAAGAGGATTTTATGCATTGAAAGCCCCCACATTTTCATGTACACTTCAAAGAGATGTGTGTGCTGCTGTTAAACTGGATGGTCTATAAATGTTAGATTCAGCTGGCTCTATATTTTTGCTGACTTTCTGTGTATTTATACAATCAATTATTGAAAGAGAAGTTTTGAAGTCTTCAACAATAATTGTGTGTTATTCAAGTCTAACAGTTTTTGTGTTCTTAAAGTCTGTTGTGGGATACATACACATTTAGGATTGTTCTCTCCTGCTCTATGAGCTCACTCTTTTTTATCATTATACAGTGTCTCCTCTTTATCCCTATAATCTTTTCTGAAGCCTAATATTAAGCTAGTACTACTTTTGGTCAGTTCTTTTGATCTGTTTTAAAATGTTCTTTATTTTTTAAAAGTTTTGAACATACGTATATCATTATATGAAAGTGACTTTCTTTTAGGCAGTAGGTAGCTATGTCATTTTTTAAAAAATTCTTTTAATGTATGTGTTTAACTGTTAGGTCTGGTGGCCAGATTCTAAAATAGAATTCTCCTGGAATCTATGTTCTTTTAAAATCTCTTCTTAGTGTGGAAAGGTCCCATGAATTGTTCTAACCAATAGAAGATGGCAGAGGAGTTGGGGTGTCACTTCCTAAGTGAAGTTACTTAACACTGTAATATCCATCAAAGCAAGTTGTCGCGTTGGAGAAGCTCAGATGTCATGAACAAGGACAGCCTCCAGTTCATAGCCACCTAAGTACTGAGACCCTTGGTCTAAGAGCCCCAGAGAAACTAAATTGTCCTGAAACCCAAACTTAGAACTGGATCCTTCCCCAGTCAAGCCTACAGATGTGACCCCAGCCCTGGCCAACATCTTGATTGTAGCTTTCAGAGAGACCCTGTACCAGAAAACCCAACAAACCCGTGCTAAGATTCCTGGCCAGAACTGTGAAATGATAAATTCATGTTGTTGAAAGCTAAGTTTGTGCTAGTTTGTTATATAGCAAGTGATAACTAATGTAATTATTTGAATTGTTTTTGTTATATAAAAATTGTATGTACATTGCCATGTATTATCTACTTTATGTTTTTCAAATTTTTCTCTTGTCTAGAAAACATTTTCCAGATGGAAAGAAAACACTGGACTTTGGGGCTGGGGATTTAGCTGAACGGCAAACGCGCCTGCCTGGCAAGCGCAAGGTCGTGAGTTCGGTTCCCGGTACCAGAGAAAAACCAAAAAAAAAAAAAGAAAACACTGGACTTTTGTGTTTCAAAACCATACACCTATAAGCCTATAATCCCTGTCTAATCAGATCAAACTTTCTCAAACCTTTCTCTGCCAATAAAATTTAGCTATGTGAATATTTTTTATTCTAACTTTTATGAGTATTTGTCCTTATCTTTGAAAAAAAATCAGGCTCTCTTAGTAATTCAAGTATGTATTCTTTCCTTTTCACAACCAATAAGGAATTTTATTTGGTAAGTTCAGGTGAAGTATAGAAAATTTATCACTATATAATTACCATTAGCAGCCTTACTTTGCATAGTTACAATAATATTACATCTCTATACGTGGAAAACTACATCAGAATATCATAAGTCTTATAATTTTATTCTCAACTATCACACATATTTTAATGAACCTAAATTCTATTATATTTTCCCAGATATTTGCCATTTTGGTTGCTCTTACTTCTTACTAATGTTACAAGTTTCCCTCTGATATAAATTCTCTTACCCCGAAGAATCTCCTTTATCATTCCTGATAGAAGAGATCTGGTAGCAATAAATTCTCATATTTTTCCTCTATCTGGAAACATCTTTCTTTCATCTTCACGTCTAAAGGATATTTTCACTTTACATGGAATTCTGAGTTGACAGTTCTTTTCTTTCAGCACTGGATATAGAATCTGAATTGACAGCTCTTTCTTTTAGCATGTTAAATATGCTATTATACTGCCTGTCAGCTTCTGTGGTTTCTGATGAGAAACGTATGGTCATTCAAATCAGTTTCCCTATATGAAGTGAGTCGTTTGTTCTTGCTTGCTTTCAAGAATTTCACTATTTTTAGCTTTCATTGATTTCATTGTGATGTATAGATTCTTTTGATTTTATTATGCTTGAGATTCATTGAGTTTATAGTTTGTTCATGTCTTTTTAAACTGTGATTTTTCTATCATCATTGCTTAAAATGCATTTCCCCGTCGGACATTTTTTTCTCCATTCCTTCTGAAATCTAATTACACAAATAGTAAATATTTTGATATTTTTCCACAGGTCTCTGGGGCTATCAATCTTGAAATTTTTCTCCCCAGTATGTTTTCACTGTCGTTCAGATTAGATCATTTCTGTTGATCTATCTTTAAATTCATTTCCACTCAGTTAATTTTAAAATTGTTAGTGTATTAACCAAATTCTAAAATTTCCATTTCGTTTGTCTTTATAACTTCCATTTTTTGTTCTTTTTACTGAAACTTTCTATCTTTCCATTTGTTTCAAGAGTGTTTGCCTTTAATTCATGGAGCATGGTTATAATAACTGCTTTTAAAAAATCTTCATCTGAGCTGAGTGTGGTGGTGCATACCTGTAATTCCAGCACTCTGGGAGGCTGACACAGGAGGATTGCAAGTTCAAGCCCAACTGAGTAATTTGTCTCAAGGGGGAGGGGCAGGGAGGCTGGGAATGTAGCTCAGTGCAGAGGTCCTGGGTTCCCTACTCTTTTCTTTTTTTGTACCAGCAATCAAGCTCAAGACCTTGCACTTGCCAGGCAAGCATTGCACCCCTGAGCTATACCCCCAGCCCAGGTCCTGGGTTCAATTATCAGTACCACCAAAAACATCTTTGTCTGATAATTCTAATACCTGTACCTTCTCTGGCATCTGCTGGCTTCTACTGATTATCTCTTCCCTTGTCAGTTGAGACTTTCAAGGTTCTGCATAGGCTAGCTAACTTTGTATTATGTTCTGGACATTTTAAAATACAATGATATGAGATTCTAGGTTTGGTTTTTAAAAATCCTAAAAAGAATGTTGATTTTTTTCTAAAGCAGATAACCAGCCAGGTTATATTGCTTTTACAAGTTTTAGTTTGCCTCTTAGACTGTGGTTCCAATATCAGCTCTGTTTCCAAAGTGTGGTGTTACTCAGATTAGTCCATACATCGTGCCAACAGTGACCAGTCCTGGGCCTGGAGTTCTAGCTCTCATAGCACATGCTGTGCATGTACAGTAGGATTCACATATCCACATATGTCCAGCCTGGAGATGAGCACAGGAGTCTAATCATAGGTTTATGCGATTCCTCTTTTAGCTCCCCTCTGTCCCTAGCTTCCCCGACATTGTCTAGTTCTTGGAACCTCACTTTCTAGCCCACCAAACTGCAAGCTGGGGCTTTTGTCTTCCTCCTCTGCCACATGCTTGCTGTGACCAGTTCTGTGTCCGGAGTCAAGTGGCAGGAGGACAGAGATGGGAAAACAGGAATAGAGATCTGCCGCACACTCTTGTGATCGCTGCCTCTCTGGCCAGATTGAATGATTCTCCTCCTGCAGAGATTTAGTTCCTAACAAGACCTTACCACCACCACTGTTGCCACAAATATTGCCTGTGATCTGAGACTGAAAAGGGGAGAGAGAGAGAGAGAGAGAGAGAGAGAGAGAGAGAGAGAAAAGAGAGG